GAGGAGACCCCCACGCACACGGGAGGGGGCGATGGGGCAGACCCTCACCCCCTCCCACCCCCCCACACTGCGCAGACTAGCGCAGGACCAGAAGGAGCCGAGCATCCCAGCTCCTGACCTTTCTCCAATGACACCTTCCTCATGTGAGGCATTGCCGTGGCAACCGTGAGTGATGTCACTGCTGCAAAACGATGACTTCACACCAGGGCGGTCCCCAGGGTACCCTCGGCAGAGGAGCCGTGTGCCCCCCTGCACCCCCACACCGAGCTCTGGCTGCCAGCTGCACCCCTGGGCTCCCACAGCCTCCCAGGGATGCTGAAATCAGCATCTGTGGGGCTGGATGTGTCCCTAAACCCCCCGAGAGCTCCCTCTCAGACTGACCCTGCTGCGCTGCGTGGCTCCCACAGGGGCATTAGCCATGCAAAGCTGCGAAGAACTGAGATTAAATAACCACGCCAGCTGGGCAAAACTCCCCTCTGGCTCCAATCCCTGTGCAATCTGGCTGAGCCAGGGCAGAACTGGGCCTGCAGAGAAAGATAAACTGCTCCTGGTCCCCCCCTTGCACACAGCTGACCCTGTGTGATCGCCCCAGGGTGCAGCGTGCCATGCCAGATCTTGCTTCCTTGCAAGGTTCATGTGCACAGAAAAAAAGATCCAATCCAGGCTGCTAAAAATATCTGCAAACAAATTAATCAGGATCCTCGACACCCCTCCCTCGCTTCTGACCCAATTGTACGACAGTGATGATGACAGGAGATGCCCAAAGCCCCTGCAAGAGGGAGCTGCCACCTCCCTGCTCCATCACCCGCCCAAGGCCTGGCTCAGTGGTGCTGCTCTGAGGTGCTGGGCAAGATAAGAGTCAGGTCCAAGCACTAGAGGGGAAAATGTACGCTAGGGTGGTCCCTGCTTAACTCCACTGGCAGCACTCAGAGCTCCAGGGATGATCCAACCTCTCCTGTGGGTGCTGATCCCGTGGGACAGAGCTCCTTCAGACCCCCCTGTGCCCCTGAGCCCTTTGGCTCTGGTGGGGCCCAGATGCCAACCAGGTGGGCAGGAGCAGCGCAGGATCAGTGCAGGATCTGTGTGGGATTGGTGCAGGATTGAGGCAGGATTCCCACTTTGCAAACTCGCACCAAATACGTTCTAAAAATGAGATTGCTGTGAGAAGTGGGCTGTGGGGCCAGTGGCAGAACTTTGCCCAAGCTGATGAGCAGTGGTGGCCAACACAAAAATCCCAGTACAGTTATGGTGAATGAGTGGTGCCCTCTCCCCTGGAAAAGCCTTTTACCCTGGGAAATGGGGTGTAAAAGCTTGGCAAACTGCTCAAGGACCCAAACCTTCACCATGCCCAGGTCGGTGACAGCCTGTCCTCCCCTTGAGGTGGCTGACACTGCAGAGGGAGGGGCCCAACAGCCTCACCACGGGAACACCAGAGCTGCCACACACACCAGGAGCAGGAACAGCTCTGAACCACGTCCCTGTGCTCAGGAGCCCCTGTGGTGGCACATCCAGGCAGAGGGAAGCATTTAAACCTGGTGAGGAAGGCTCCAGCCAAGCAACGCCAGGGATGTGATCTGGATGCATCTTTGCCCCTGATTCACAGCAGAAAATCCTCATTTCACAACAGAAAATCACCATCAGGGAGAACCTCCTGCTCAGCTCCAAGCCCAATCCCTGCCCAGCCCTGTGGAGTAACCCCTGAGCAGCCCCTTGGTGGTCACAGGGTGATGGGCACTGCCACCGCCTCCAAACCACCACCAGCTCTCAAAGCAATGCCCCAAAAGAAGCAAAAAAAACCCCAGAAAGAAGCAGAAAGCCCAAAAGAAGCAATGAAGGAGCTGGCATGGCTTGGCTGCTCCTCCAGCAGTGGCAAAGTGGGTGACAAACATTGCCCAGCACCCAAAAGGAGGTGGCCCTGCTCCAGCACACACTCACAAGGTCTCTTTGATCAGATCTGCAGCTCAGCATCTCACCAGCCGCCCTGATTGCTTCCTCATCATTCAATATTTATGTAAATAGCAACTTTGGTTCCTGGAGCAAACCTGCCCTGAATTGTGCGTGAACGACGGCAGCACCACAGCCGTGAGGAGCCAGGATTGCTGAACAACTGATTATGAAATGATGTCACAGATGGGGAATGATTTTCTCTAAAGATGGGAAATGCAGGGCAAACACGGCCAGGTCACGCTCCATTATCATCAGTGGATAAATGCTTTTTTTTGATTACTTTAAGGCAGGGCAGCATGGCAGGGATGCACTGGTGTCCCCAAGGGGCACAGCCTGGGTTCCTGAGCCCAGCCTGGCGTGGGCTGATCCTGTTCCTGTGCACGGTTGTGGAGCTGGAGGATGCCATGGCTCTGCCTGCAGCTCCTCCCCACTGGGCAGGGAACTCTCCTACGCCACTTCCAGCATCAAAACACAGGCAGCCACTCTGCCCCAATGGCTTTCCAGTCTTCCTCGCTCCAGGAGGATGAAGCCCGTGCAGGGCAGGACAGGCAGGGTGACTCGCCAAGGTCACCCCAGCACCCACCTGCCTGCTGCAAGCTCCGGCCCAGGCAGTGATGCTGCTGCGCCCTGGGGAATCCTCTGAGGCCTCCAGCCCACTGCAGGCCCACCAGAGGGAGATCCCCACTCTTGGCAGTTCTGTGGGCTCTGCCACAGCTCTGCCAGCTCAGAGAAACGGGGCAGGCTCTGCCCTAGGGCAGGAATGGGGGTCACCCCTCTCCCAGGCTCGCCCAGCAGCCCACAGCTGCTGAGGGTGAGGAGGGGAGTGAGGAAGGGTGAAGTTCTCCTGCTCAGCAGCCCCCAGGATGCCCCTGGCACTGCCACCTCTGCTCTGTCACGGCAGGGACAGTGGAGATCCCTCTGCCACAGTGGCCAGGCAGTGTGAGCAATTCTCACCCCAAAGCTGCAGCAGAACCCAGTGCCCAGCCCGTGAGATGAGGAGGGGGCTCCGCTGGGTTCACAGGGCAGGGTGGAAGGGCTCAAACCCACCCCAGTGCAGGAAGCCAGCCCTGAGAGGTGCCCAAAGGCCTCCAAGTGCTCCTCCGGAAGATGCCAGGGCAGCCCAGGAGCACAAGGGGGTGAAAGCAGGAGGGGAAGGGAAGGTGCTGCTCCCTGCCCTGAGCCTGTGGCCACCTCACCCGCCTCAGGGAACCCCACGGGGACCCAGCAGTGTCACAGAACCTGAGATCTGTGGGGGGATCCCCCACTCAGGCACCCAGCAAACCCTCCCTGAGCCCCCCCAAACCTCTCAGCAGCACAGCATCACAACGATGTGGGGCTGAGCGCCCCCAGCCCCTGGCCAAAGGCTCCTCCAGCCCTTTTGGGGTCTCTGGAGCAGGGTGCCCCCAGTGCTGGCTCAGCAGCCATGCCAGCTCAGTGCCCATCCCTGCAGGATGCCGTGCTGCCTGCCCCAGCCAGCGCAGCCATCCCTGCCGGTGCCTTTCACACGACTCGGGAAGCGTTTCCCACTCCGGAGCTCGCCAGGGAAGGAGATGGAGCTGCAGAGCCTTCCTCCTGTTTTGGCATTCCTCGCCTGGCAGACAGGTTGGATTTGGGGCTCCCAGGAGCCCCAGAACCCCCCTCAAAGCGGCTGAGCCCCAGGGACAGCACCAGGCCTCCTCGGGGGAGCCTTCCCAACGCTCTGCAAAGCCCAGGGATGGGGACACCGAACCCCAGCGCGCTCCGGGGACACAACCAAGGCCCGCTAGGGCT